GGGGGGGGGGGGGGGGGGGGGAGTCCAATGTGCAATATGTTCCAGCCAACGTGCACAACAAATTTCACCAACAATAGGTAAAAAAGTTCCCCTTAACATTCATCGGTGATCAAGAACTAGGGATGATAATCGAACCGACTCGATCGAACTCATATTCTTAAATGAGCTTAAAAAAATGAGGTCGTTTTTTGTTTAAGCTCGATTCATTTAAAAAAGGAGCAAAACAAACCGAATCTAAATAGTTCGATTGTTTATATGGGTAGGAATTATGATATTTCATCTTCTTATCTGCTATTTTATAGAAAAAGTTTTTCTTGACCTACCCTACCCTATCAAGTGTACAATTCCTACCCAAATTCTGTTCAAAATAATCAAGTAGGAAGTCGAATAGAAAATTGGGTGAATACATATTTTTTAGTTATTAATTTTTGGATTTTTAATTAAGTAACATGCACCAATTAATTAACACAATAAACCAATAACACTAAAAAAAAACATAATAAATTTAATAATACATAAACAATTAGAATAAAACACAACAAGAAAACCATAAATATTAATACATTATATATAAGAAAGTCATAAACATCAATAAAACATTAGAGTTTCTAGATTTTTGGATTTTAATTTTTAGAGATTAACATATATATATACGAGGTATAGTAGGGTAGGAATACGAAAATTTTATAGGTATTTTACATTCCTATTGTGAGACCCAATCATGCATTGCACATATATTAATATAATTTTTTGGGCTAAATTATAATTATGTGAAAGTATTAAAGGGTTAATTAAATTAAATCTTTCATAGCCATGATGTATGTGAACATACATTGGGGAGGTGGACCCCGTTAGTGATATATTTGTTAGACTTATTTATAAAATTTCATGTGTAAAAATACTTAGTGGGTCGATTTCGAAATCACTTAAAAACTTGGGGGAAGCAAGTGTAATTACTCCATTAAGTGTACACACGTTCAAAGAGAAGGTTGATGAGTCAAAAAGGGGGCTAAGGTGGCTGGTGTGGTGTATGTCGTGTGTGTGTGAAATAAAAAGTGTAAAGGCGTGTGTGTGTGTTTAATGGATCAACCAGTGTGTGTGTGTGTGTTCTGTTCTTACTGAAGCCCAGAGAGTGAGTTGAGCAAGAGAGAAAGGGGGGGGGGGAAAGAGAAAAAGAAAGGAAGAAAGGAAAAAAAAATACGTAACGTGCGTCCATTTGAACCGTGAGCAAAGAAAGTATAAAGATTTAAGTTTTGAGTTGTGATTAATTTTTATATGTACACTTTTATATATATGTGAGTTATTTTAGCATGTTTTAATTAGTAGGCTATTTTAATTTAAATACATTAGTTGTCTTCTTTTATTTTAATGGGTTGTTTTAATTCAAATTTCATAGGCTGATTTAGTTAATGTCAAAACAGATTTTGTATGGGTGTAATTAAATATATTTAGCATAATTAACGGGCTATTAAAGATAGGTGTCAAATGGGTATTAAAATAAAGATGAGAAAATGTAAAAAAAAATGGTTATTTGAAATGTTCGATATGTTTTTGAAAGCTAGGTTGGAACCGAAATTATGAGAGTGAAATGGATAATTTAAAGGTTCAATTAGGGGCTGAAATTGCGTGATTAAATGTGTGTGTAAGATTAAGTGTGACGGTTTTAAATAAAAAGTACGATAAAAATTGGAAAGAGGTGTCGGTAGCGCCGAAACCCTAATTTCTAAATGTTATTATCACATGTGTGAACTTTAATTCAAATGATCTAAAATTTTGCGTGCAACACTTTTAGATGATGCTTGATATGATAATATGACTTTCGAATACAAATGAGTATAATATTTAGTGCGAAATGTATGAAATACCGGAAGTGCAATTTTTAGAATTCAGAGTCAAAATGTGTGAAAATGGGCTCCCGGTCAATGTGTTTGACCTGCTTAATCCTAATTGTGATTAATGTGATTAAATTTGAGAATTTAGGGAGGAAATGTGATCCCTAAAACAAAAGTGCTAGTGTGTGAGTGGATAGGATGGTAACCGGAGTTACCGGGGCACTTTTGCGGTGCATCATTTTACATGTATTAGTGCATGATTAATTATTAAATTTGATAATTATATTGATATTATAATTACAAATGTGTTAAGTGAAACGAGTGAGACATTCGGTATTGAAATAGGAGCGGTGACACCGAAAGGATCCACTAATAGGATCGGAGGGTCGTAAATTTGTACATCTGAGGTAGGTGTATATTTTTATATGTTTTGAAAATGATATTATAAGATGATAGTAAATGATAGAATTTAATAGCATTTCTCCAGGATTATGTGTTGTTTGTCTATGTGATTGAATGATGTTTTGTACTGTGTATTGTGGAATGTGGCGCACTATTTGAGACAGGGGCGTCGATGTCTGGTCACTGGGCGTGCAACGATGTGCTAGTACTGTGGTATTCCCGGGAGGTTCGGGAGACACTGATCCATGTGGGATCGATTACCCAATGAGGGTAAGTGTGGATGTGATGTGACTTGTGAATTCTTTGAAAATTAGATTGATGTTGTTGTTTGATACGTATATTTACGTAATATCTATCTACTTCGGTGTATTACTATCATTTTCATTTCATATACTGCATATGTACTCACTGAGCGCGTGGTTTAGCTCACACCCCTACAGTTTCTTCTTTTAGGTACTATAGAGGAGGATGCAGACCGGTCCACTGTCCAGTTGATTGAGTCTTGTGCAACGTTAGTGTGATACCACTCAGGTTGAATGTCGGTATGACTAACCGTTAGACTGTATATTATATTTATGAGAGATATTTATGACAAGTTAATTGTATATATTTGTAAATAGACTCAGCAAACATACTTTGTGATGTATGCTATGTGAGTGTGGAATTTTGCATATGTCTATAACCTGGAAAATAAATTATTGGTACAGGTATTTATATAGTACATGTTATCAGATAAGTTTTACCATCATGCTTAATAACTAAGGTGATAAGTGTTGTTATTATACCTGTGATTATATCATATTTGATTAGTCCAGCTTATAACAATTGTTCACAGGTGTATAAAAAATCTAGTCACATCTCATTCTTGAGAGACCAGAATAAGACGTGACACATATCAATTTTTTTACAAAAATATCAAAAGATCTTCTGTTGACCTACTCAATTCTTTCGAGTAACCGATGAATAAGGCCGGGTAATGTAAATTTAACTTGTTTAAAATTGAAGCATTAAGCCAAAATTGAAGCCGAGTAACTTCCTGGATTATCAGCCCTATTGACAAGAACCGGATCCAAACGGTTCGAACCCGGTAAACCCACCCCCCCCCCCCCCCCCCCCC